TCGGCACACCGCTCTTCAGGGACACTCGGGCGTTCCGCGTACAGAGGGAGAATCTTCCTAAGGCACCTGGAATTACAGAAGGTAGAAACAACAGGTTCGAGGGAGGATCTCTGCTCCACATTCGGACTCCAAAGCTGAAGGGAAGTAAACTCTCCTGCCACCCTATTGAGAATCCTCCGTTCTATGCAAAAGAGGGTGTTTTTTTTAAAGAATTATTTTATTGATCTATCTTCCTCCCTCCCTCCCTCCCTCCCTTCCTTCCTTCCTTCCTTTCTCTTTCTTTCTTTCTTTCTTTCAATTTGACCAGAGAGGGACAGAGAAAGAGAGAGAGAGAGAGAGAGAGAGAGAGAGGAAGCCACCAGGTCCAGGACTCGAATTGCAGCCAGCCACATGGGAGTCCAGCACCCTTAACCACCACGCCACCTGCCGGAGTGGCACTGTTCAGTAGTCCTCTCTGTGATCCTGGGAAAGGTCTACATCTGCTTTATTCAGGATGGTACCTCCTAGCTATGTATGGTCATTGAGCAGACGAAATGTGGCTGGTGATAAACCGAAATGTTCATTTTATTTAACGAGCTGAGCCTTAAGCGGCAGACATGGCCAGTGGCTACTGGACTGCGCGGTTCTGTTTGGTCTTAGTGTTTTTGCACAGGGTGTGTGCGCTGGCCGAGAAAGCCAGTGTTCAGGTCAGCCTGGACCTCCCACGTGGCTCCAGGTCATCCAGCAGCACTCTCCTTCTGTGCCACTGTGGCTGGGCCTGAGGGTTTCATCAGGAAGGAAAAATGAGTCAGAATTAACTGGGTAATGGTGAAGGGAAAAGCTTCTGGGACAGAGGGAATAGCACGCCCAGGCCTAAGGTGAGCAGGGTGTGGGCACGTTTGAGGCACTTTAAGGAATGAGAAAGTGGGAGAGATGAGACAGAAGCTCGGGCTTCGGCCAGGCCCAAAGAGCTTACACTAGGACTTACTTGTGGTTGTGGTTGTTTATTAGAAAGAGAGTGTGGGACCAGCAGTTAGCATCATGGCTATGCTGCTGAACTCCCACATAGTCGACCATGGTTCGAGTCCTGGACCCAGTGGCTTAAACTCATGCCGGGCGCATGTGCGTACGTGTCCAAGATCCCAAGAGGAGAATGGAGGAGAAGGGATTGTGGCATGGCCATCCTCCCTCGGGGGTGATTTTTCGCTTTCTGTCTCTCTCTGTCTTTCTGGTGAGCGCATGCACCCTATAGCAAAAGCCACTCTAAAAAAGAAAAGGAAAGAAAGAGGGTGTGTGCACTTATGAGAGAGAGAGGGAGGGAGAGGGCGAGAGAAAACACCCCTATTAGGCATGGTGATGTCACAATCCCGCCTCCTCCATTCCTCCATTCCATCAAGATTTTACATACACACGTGCCCAATGTGTTCTTCCTCCTCCTCCTCCTCCTCCTCCTTCTTTTTCTTTTTCTTCTTCTTCTTTTTAAGAGAGACTTTTGGTATAGGTGCACGCGCTTGCTGGAGAGAGAGAGACAGAAAGCGAGAAATCAGTCTTCAGGGGGATGGTATGCTGTGGTCCCTTCTCCTCCAGTCCCCTCTCAGGATTTTGCACATGCATACACATGTGCCCAGTTGAGTTTCAAGCTGCCGAGTCCAGGACTCAAATCCTGGTTGACCATTTGGGAGTCCAGTGACGTAACTCTTGTGCCATCTGCTGGTCCCGTCCCAATGTTTTTTTCAAGACACCTGGGCTGGGATTCGAACCACGGTCAGCCATGTGGGATTTGGCTCCTTTAACCACTAGGACACAGGATCAGCCTGTTATATTAGGACTTTTGACCTTTATCTTAAAAGCAATGGAGAGCTACTAAAAGATTTTAAGCTGTATAGAAAATAAACTGGGGGGAAAAAAAAAAAACTTGGCTTTTACAAGGGCCTCATTGTTCCCTGTTCCTTCCTTCCTCCTGGAGCAGGCGAGCAGGTGACTTCCCCAGACGCAGGACTGCAGCTGGCCCCAAAGGCAGTTCTCAGAATAACCAGCAGTGCTTGGTCCTGGGCCCAGGGCATGAACAGAGCTAAGCTGCGTTCTTTCCTCGGATGGTCTGTGTTCTCCCTGTGTGTTTCTGCCATTAAATAGATACTGGGGTCTTTATAAGAACTGCCAGCAAACCACCCACTCCATTTTCTCTGCTGCAGCCCTAGAAGCCCTCAGACGGCAACAGCCTGTGCCAGAATCTCGGTGACTGGAGACAGCATCTAAAAAGTACTAACTACAACTCTTCTGCACGGGCTGGTGCCTACGGCCTCGACTTCTACAGTCACAGAACAGCTAGGAAACTTGATGGGCAGTTTTAAGAAGAATAAATACAGTTCAATAAAATAATCCTTTAAAAAAATAGCCCTAATCCCTACCAGCATAATGATGTTATTAGCTATGGTACATTCTGATATCCATCTGGCCCAGGACACTGAGGTCATGATTCACAAAGACCTGCCACTGGCTTTTATGTCTAGTACCTACCTTAGAGGTGCTCAATATATAACATGAGAAGTGGACATAATTGTCTCAAAATACAACAATCCTTCTTTTGCATTGTTAGGATTCCCGAGGTAGAAGTCTATTTATTTTATTTTATTTTTTTAATCCCAGACAGTATCTGTATGTGCACAAGGGCACTTGTGTGAGCCAGAGAGAGGAAGAGGAAAAAACCTTCAATGGGGAATGGTCACGCTGCAATCCTTTCTCCTCCATTTCTTCTTTCTTCTGGGATCTTGGACATGTGTGCACATGCAGCCACCAGGCTTATCAAGCTGCCAGATCTGGGACTTGAACCACATGGCTGGCCATGTGGGATCTGGCTGCTTTAATCACCAGACCACAAAGACAACCCAGAACTTCTTTCCTGTTAATCGCCAGAAGGTGCATGACCTCACAAGAAGGTGACAAGAGAGGAAGAAAGAGGGAGAAAGAACTGCCCAGCAAGGCAGGGGCATGCCACAATTCTCGTTTCTCCATCCTGATGGAATTTAAGGCATGCACACACATGCACTTGACATGCGTTTCTTTTCTTTTTCTTTCTTCTTTTAAAATGTATTTATTATTTTTTAATTTGACCAGAGAGTGAAAAAGCAACCTGCCAGGTTGGGGACTCCAATCAGTTTCGGCCATGTGAGAATCCAGCATCGTAACCACCATGCCACACTACCTGCCGGACCCACTTGTCGAGCCGTTTTCAGCCTTGTGGGATCCAGTTCCCTTAACCACTAGGGCACAGGACTCGCCCTCCTTTCAGAATTTTGCAGGCAAGTTTGTTACTTAGTGTAAATCACAGCCTTATTGCTTCACGCTCCTGCATCACAGAGTTCCGAGCGAGGTTCCAGGTGCTACAGTGAACATTCCACAGGGGCTTGCTGCCAGCCAGGGGGCTCCCCGCGCTGCCACCTTCACTATCCCATTGCCTTTGTCACTGCTGTCAGTCACGGCCACCATCCCTCCTCAGGTTGGAGGAGCAGAGGCGTGAACAGAACTCGAGATAAGTACCTCTTTCAAGGAAACATGGAAATGAATAGTGCTTTAAGGTGAATAGTCTTGGTTTTGGTTGGGTGACAAATGTAGCTGATGAGCAATTATATCTAGTCTTTTCGCTCTACTTCATTAGTAATCAAAGGAAACACTGATTTCCTGTTAAACTATACCATGAGGGGGGATAGAATCCTTTACCTTCTACAGAAGAGGCCCCCCATCCCTCTCTTCTTATTCTGCTGAATTTATATCTTGTTTATTATGATGGATAAATGAATGAATGGAAAAACCTGATACCTGTCACTTTAAGAACAGCTTCATGTGTGAAAGAGCTATTTCATGACGACCTCCTACATATGGAGAAATTGCGGTATGACAGGAAGGACTGACTTTGGGTAGAACATAGTATTATGGTGTTTTATATTATTTCAATAGTCCTAGTCCATAAAGGCTCGTAAAAACTACGAGACCAGCAGATGGTGTAATGGTCACTCACTGGACTCCCATGTGGTCGACTGCAGTTTGAATCCTGGACCTGGTGACTTGGAACTCACTCTGGGCGCATGTGCGTGTGTGCCAAGATTCCGAGAGGAGAATGGAGGAGAGGGGATTGTGGCATGGCCACCCCTCTGGAGGATGATTTCTTGCTTTCTGTCTGTCTCGCTCTCACTGTCTCCCCAGCAAGTGCATACACCCTATAACAAAAATCTCTCTAAAAAAAGAAAAAAATGCACCCTTTGCATGACTTATTACTCCCAAAATATCAGTTAGAAATATTGGAGAGCCGGTGCTCTGAGGCATGTGGTAAAACCTTGAGTGATGCTGCAGCCACGTGTGTGAGGCCTGGGTTCAGATTCTGGGTCGACCTGAATACACCCAGTGTCCCTGGGATCCGGTTGAAAAGGAGCCTGGGGAAAGATGGTCAGACTGTGGAAACCCTGTCAATGGTCTCTCTCCTTCTTTTCGCTCATGAAATAAGTTAAATAAACTTAAAAAAAAATTGAGATGGGACAGCAGGTGGCATGATGGTTGAGGTACTTACTGGGTTCCCACATGAGTCCAGATCCAGTGGCTTGAAAATCACCCTGGGCCTGTGCGTGTGCGTACTCAAATCCAGGAGGAGAATGGAGAAGGGACTGTGGCATGATCACCCCCATTGGGGGGTGATTTCTCTCACTTTCTCTTTTTCTGTCTCCTTCTGGTGAGTGCACACACTCTATGGCAAAAAGGAAGGAAGGAAGATACATTTTGGCCAAAGGAGCTCACCAACTTTGATAGCGGCCAGTTGCTTCCTCCGTCTCTGCTTCACTATTTCTCCGGCCGTGTCCTCTTCCTCTTCGCCTGCTGACTGACGGCTTGCTTGGGTTTGCCGTGGAATCTTTGATACCTCTCAACTGTGAATTTCTCCAGGCAGTTTCTCCAGTCTCATGATGCTGTTCCTAGCTGGATGAAGGGCTAGGTCCCTTGGTGGGACACTTGGTGGGGTTTGGTCCTTGGTTCCATCCTTTTATTTATTTATTGAGAGGGTCATTTTTTTTTTTTTTAGGGGCACATGTGCTTGCTGAGAGACAGAGAGCAAGAAATCACCCCCAAGGGAGGATGGCCATGTCACAATCCCCTCCTCCATTCTTCTCTTGGGATTTTGGGCACACGTGCACATGGGCCTGGCTTGAGTTTTAAGCCACTGGGACTCAACTGCGGTCGACTACATTGGAGTCCAGTGACATAGTCATTACACTAACTGCTGGTCCCTCAGGTCAGGAAATTTTAATTTATTTTCACGTGGGTGTACATTTTTACATATTGTTGACTAACTTTGATTCTGTAAGGTTTTACATTTTATAACCAGGGTCCATCAGATGGCCCAGAAGTTAAGGCAGCTAGATCGCATACGCCTGACTGTGGGGTTTGAGTCTGGAACCCGGGTACCAGGTGCACGAGCAACATGCCCAAAACCCTGAGAGGAGAATGGAGGAGAAGGGATTGCAGTGTGGCCATCTCCCCTTGGGGGTGCTTCCTCACTTTCCCTCTGTTTTCTGTCTCCCAAGAGCCTCTGTACCCTATCACTCCACTCCTCAAACAGTATTTCATAACCAAAGCATTTTTTTTCAAGTGTCTAACTGTCCATAGATCCCTAGACAGAGCTGATGACCTAGAAATTGTGCACGCTATGAATAAGAAGGGTCTTACGTGCTGAGCACTGTGCTAGGTGCTCTGCTATGCAGTAGAGGGCCGTGTGCCTGCTCTCCAGAAACGTATCCACCTCCACAGCTTTTCTTTCCTGTCTGAGGCTCACACCTCTTTAACACTATTATAATGTAGTCTTTAAATATTTGATTCTGGGGCCAACTGGTGTTGTTGTGATTAAGGTGCTGAATTCCACATAGCCAAAGGAATGGTGTGAGTCTCAGACCTGGTGGCCTGCAAGACACTGCAGGTGCATGTCCAAAATCCCAGAAGAATGGAGGAGAGGGCATCGTGGTGTGACCACCCTCATGGGGTGGTGATTTCTCACTTTCCCCCCGCTCTGTTTCTCTCTCTCTGGTGCGTACATGCACCCCATAGCAAAAAAATTAATCAATTAATTAAATCCTGGGCCAGCCAGGTGGCATGTTGGTTAAGGCAGCTGGATTCCACATGGACGAAAGTGTGGTTTGAGACCTGTCCCAGTGGCTTGAGCGTGTGCGTACTCAAATCCAGGAGGAGAATGGAGAAGGGACTGTGGCATGATCACCCCCATTGGGGGGTGATTTCTCACTTTCTCTTTTTCTGTCTCCTTCTGGTGAGTGCACACACTCTATGGCAAAAAGGAAGGAAGGAAGATACATTTTGGCCAAAGGAGCTCACCAACTTTGATAGCGGCCAGTTGCTTCCTCCGTCTCTGCTTCACTATTTCTCCGGCCGTGTCCTCTTCCTCTTCGCCTGCTGACTGACGGCTTGCTTGGGTTTGCCGTGGAATCTTTGATACCTCTCAACTGTGAATTTCTCCAGGCAGTTTCTCCAGTCTCATGATGCTGTTCCTAGCTGGATGAAGGGCTAGGTCCCTTGGTGGGACACTTGGTGGGGTTTGGTCCTTGGTTCCATCCTTTTATTTATTTATTGAGAGGGTCATTTTTTTTTTAATAGGGGCACATGTGCTTGCTGAGAGACAGAGAGCAAGAAATCACCCCCAAGGGAGGATGGCCATGTCACAATCCCCTCCTCCATTCTTGGGATTTTGGACACACATGCACATGGGCCTGGCTTGAGTTTTAAGCCACTGGGACTCAACTGCGGTCGACTACATGGGAGTCCAGTGACATAGTCATTACACTAACTGCTGGTCCCTCAGGTCAGGAAATTTTAATTTATTTTCACGTGGGTGTACATTTTTACATATTGTTGACTAACTTTGATTCTGTAAGGTTTTACATTTTATAACCAGGGTCCATCAGATGGCCCAGAAGTTAAGGCAGCTAGATCGCATACGCCTGACTGTGGGGTTTGAGTCTGGAACCCGGGTACCAGGTGCACGAGCAACATGCCCAAAACCCTGAGAGGAGAATGGAGGAGAAGGGATTGCAGTGTGGCCATCTCCCCTTGGGGGTGCTTCCTCACTTTCCCTCTGTTTTCTGTCTCCCAAGATCCTATGTACCCTATCACTCCACTCCCCAAACAGTATTTCATAACCAAAGCATTTTTTTTCAAGTGTCTAACTGTCCATAGATCCCTAGACAGAGCTGATGACCTAGAAATTGTGCACGCTATGAATAAGAAGGGTCTTACGTGCTGAGCACTGTGCTAGGTGCTCTGCTATGCAGTAGAGGGCCGTGTGCCTGCTCTCCAGAAACGTATCCACCTCCACAGCTTTTCTTTCCTGTCTGAGGCTCACACCTCTTTAACACTATTATAATGTAGTCTTTAAATATTTGATTCTGGGGCCAACTGGTGTTGTTGTGATTAAGGTGCTGAATTCCACATAGCCAAAGGAATGGTGTGAGTCTCAGACCTGGTGGCCTGCAAGACACTGCAGGTGCATGTCCAAAATCCCAGAAGAATGGAGGAGAGGGCATCGTGGTGTGACCACCCTCATGGGGTGGTGATTTCTCACTTTCCCCCCGCTCTGTTTCTCTCTCTCTGGTGCGTACATGCACCCCATAGCAAAAAAATTAATCAATTAATTAAATCCTGGGCCAGCCAGGTGGCATGTTGGTTAAGGCAGCTGGATTCCACATGGACGAAAGTGTGGTTTGAGACCTGTCCCAGTGGCTTGAAAGACACATTGGGCATGTGTGTGTGCATGCCTAAAATTCCAAGGAGACTGGAGAAGGGATGGTGATATAGCCATTCCCCTGGGGTGGAGGGGTCCTTTCTCATTTTTCACTAGCCCTCTTTCTGTCCCAGTCAAGTACCTGTGCCTTATAGCAATAATAAATAAATAAATAAGTTAATTAATTAATTACATTCTTACTATCAATTCTTTTCATTATTCTGCTTGTTTTTGGCATGCCTCATTCATTTTCTTCTAAATGCTCTAATTAGGATGAAAGAATTTTAAGCCAGACAAAACGTAGTATAAAAGTAATTACACTATTATTTGAAATAAAAATCTCAGGTCTTTGGGCCAGCTGGTGGTGTGGCGGTTAAGGGCACTGGACACCCGCATGGCTGACCACGGTTCGAGTTCTGGACCTGGTGACTTGCTTTCTCACTCTCGTTCTTGTTCTGTCCCTTTCAGGTCAAATTAAAATAAAGAAAGTTAGTTAAGTAAAATAATTCTTTAAAAAAAAATCTCAGGTCTCAAATACTTTCATGTGCCACAGATAAAACCGCGTGATTTCTCTGAGTATTTGTTTAGATGTCTAGTTGAGTTGGTGGAGATTTTGCCTGATTTATTTCAGGTGCACACAGGTCAATTACCAAGTAACTGAGCACTTTGAGTGCCTTCTGGGGAGAAGCACGGAATGGCAAGTCACAATATCCAACTATAGCTCTGTCTAGAGTTGTGAGGAGCCAAAGCAAATGGCAAGAAAGGCCTCCTTGAAGAGATTTTCCTTGCATCATGCATCACATGTAAATATCTTTCTTCCCATTGGCAGGGTGTTTTGGAAATCAAAGAAATGGAATATGAGAACATCGACACTTAATTCAAACGAGGGAATCCCACGTTCACTCAGAAGACGACGTGGTAAAAGGAAAAAGTCGAAACCATCGGAAGACATCGAACTCGATGATGAGCGGCAAATCTACGATGAAACCATCACGTTACCCTGTTCCACGTGCAAACATGAGGTCGATGTAAGAGGTGTCTTTTTCCACAAAAAGCAACATATAGCCCTGGCCACACTGGGCTTTCACTGGTTGGGCGGAAGGAAACCCTTGCCCTCCGCGACTGCTATGCAGAGGCAGTTAATCATTTCCAAACTGTTGTCATCTTTTACATTGACGGAAAAAATCCTACAGAGCATCAATTATGCTTTTGAGCTACTTTGGAAGAAAAAAATACCAGCATACTATAAAATTTTTGACAACCTTGACGGGAGTTCCACATATTCCCCCCAAATCTGCCATGTCTTAATTAAAGGACTAGCCATTTGTGAAGACAGGAATTCTACGTGGAAAGCCGATATGAATGATATGTTCACAATAGTGAATAATTTTGGCAATAAACCCAACGTGTGTTTTCTGGGGATGTTTGATGGACATCATGGCTCCTCATCGGCGGACTTAGCATCCATGGAACTTCCCATTTTACTTCTTCACCAACTTTCCAAATTGGATCCTTCCTACCAAATGACACCGGAAGAGCAACAGGTCATCAATTCCTTCCACACGGTGTTTAGAGAAGAGTACACAGCAATAGAAGACTTTTTCTCTTCCATGCACAAATGGACAAGAATGCCAAAAAGAGCTGTGAGTATGAGGGCATACACAAAGCCTTTGCAAAAGCGTTTTGGAGAATGGATAGGCTTTTACGTCTTGGAAGAAAAGAAGCGTCCAGGGTTCTATGGAGTGGTTGCTCTGCAGTTACTTGTATACTGGAAGGCAAAAGTAGAGGTCTTTACGCTACCAGGAACTGGAGAACCAGTAACTACGATACGCTGTCAGACAGCTCCTCTTCCCAGCTGATGGAACAAATGATTTCTGGAGTGTTACACATTGCAAACGCTGGTAGGTACATTAAATAGCACCCAATAACACCTTCACGCGTTTTATTCCTTGCGGCAAAAACCGCTCATGCTTCCAGAATGTTTTAGTGGTTATCATTTACTGACTGATTAGTGTCTGCCAATTGCATTGATCCATTACAGAAACAACAAATGCAGTTTAAGTGCATATTTCAGTCAAAAAATAAATTGTATTTTTTTTCAAAGAAAACAGAGGGATCAGCAGTTGGTGTAATGGCTACGTCGCTGGACTCCCATGTAGTTGACCATGGTTCGAGTCCCGGACCCGGTGGCTTAAACTCACACTGGGCACGCGCGTATGCGTTCCCTAGATCCCGGGAGGAGAATGGAGGAGAACGGATTGCGGCGTGGCCATCCTCCCGGGGGGTGATTTCTCGCTTTCTGTCTCCTTCTGGCGAGGGCACGTGCCCTATAGCAAAAACCACCCCCCCGCCCCCCAAAAAGTAAAACAGATATAAACTTACGTGACAAGAACCATTATTTTTTTTCAAATGAGGCAGAGATAAGAGTTACCAATGAAAGACAAATACGAAAAACAAAGTTGAAAAATACACATTTGCTTAGACTTGAACAAAATTTTAAAAATTCCATATGCTTTCTTTTTCAGGAGGATGAGAAAATCTTTGATTATCGTCAGCATGCTTCTCTGGTTATACTGGTCAGTTATGTGACTAACACATTTGGAGCAGGCCACTGCCATGTTCACTGGCCAAGTAATACCAGTTTCTTATCAGAGTAACAGTTCATGCCTGTTTTATGATCGTGTATTCTCTTCTCCAAAAAGTTAGTTGTATTCTTTTTTGATTTCAAAAAGTAATTATTTCTTTTCTTTTTTAGAGATTTTTGCTATAGGGCGTGTATATTCTCCAGAGACCCAGAGAGGCAGTAATCAAGAAATCATCCCCCAGGGGAAATGGCCGCGTCGAAATCCCTTCTCCTACATTCTCTTCTTAGGATCCTGGGCAGGCTCACACATGGTGCTCAGCATTGAGTTTTAAGCTGCCGGGTCCGGGACTCAAACCACAGTTGAGTACATGGGAGTCCAGCGATGTAACCTTTATGCCATCTGCTGGTCTCCAGAAAGGAATTATTCTGACCTTCAATGTTTAAAGTCTTAGCTTAAACATTTTCCAAAATGAAAAACCCAGAGATGAAACAGCGTTAGCAAAGTTAACCTGAGTTCTATGCTGTATGAAATGCTTAGCTAAGTTTTCACAACATCTTTCAGGGATAAAATCATTACTAATAATAGTGTCTACTTACTGAATATTGACTAATTTCTTCATTTAACCTAACGAGAAGTCTGATATCTAATGATAGGTCAGGATTGTTAACCCGACATTTTGAATGAGAAGTTGAAAGCTTCGAAAGGTGAGGTAATTTGCTCAAGGTCTTGGAGGTAATAGGAAGTGGAGCTGAAAATCAGTCCCACTGTATCATACTACCTCTCAATAAGATTACTTTGACAGTCTGAGGAGGCAGGGCCTCAGGGAGTGGGACTTTGTGACAGAGACTGTTGTAAAGATCCGATAATCACAAAGACTGTTAAAATGTCAAGGGCCCTGACATTCAATCTGATTTTGATCCAACTCTGCTTCTGAGCCCAAAATGAGACTCCAGACTTGGTGATACGGAGAGGCTAAATGCAATGCCAATTGCCTTTGCATCATTGTCAGTTCAGTCTCTGTAATGAAGTTCCAAACGGCTTCGGAGCAGGCCTATTTCATGGACCGATGGTTTTCAAATTTCAGGCCAATCTGAGTAAGAATAGACTCATATTCTTGAAATCATGAATTCTATTACAAAATATTAATAGATGGCCAGCCCATGGTCTGGTGCTTATGGGAGATGGATCCCACAGGGTTCACTACATGGTTTGAGTCCTGAGTTCCAGATATAATGGCTTAAATTAAAAAAAAATTTAAAAAGAAAAAATATGACTCGATATTAGTGTTCTTATACAATTAAATGAGAAATTATGAAATATTCAGTATCTAAAAAGTGAACAATACTATTAAATATATAGTGTACCATGATTCACTACTTCTAGACTTGATGTCGTTGTATTGGTTCTAACTGTCAGGTCAAGTGTTGGATGTAATTTCCAGGCCTACGGACCTACATTAAACTGTTTCATTCAGGCATCCTGGATTTCACTTTTTCCTTATGCTCTCCTCTTTATCTGCAATAGAGCATAGCCATACACAAGACAGAGAGCTACAGAGAGGGAGAGAGAGAGAGATGAGCACCTTGCACAGGGTCTGGTCACACTGCAAGACTCTTTCAGTTCTTTAGTTCATCAAATCTTGGACACCTGCATGCACGTCCAGCATGTTCCAGGCTGACTGAGCTCAGGCTTTGAACCAGTCATCATGAAGGATATGGCTTCTCTTGAGCAGTGCATTACCACTGTCACGGGGCTGCCTCCATCCTGCATTTTAATGGAAAACACGTGTGTGTGAAAAAAATCACATTGCAAAAGGGAGACTCTGAGGTCCCGATTCATACTACAAAAGTGCTCCTGGGGATCAGCAGATGGAGTAACGGTTATGTTGCCAACTCCCACATAGTCGACTGTGGTTCAAATCCTGGACCCGGAGGCTTAAAACTCACGTTGGACGTGTGGTATATGTGTGTGCGTGTGCACGCACACGCGCCCAAAATCCCAAGAATGGAGGAGAAAGGACTGTAACACGGCGATCCCCCCTGGGGGGTGATTTCTCACTTTCTGTCTCTTTGGTGAACGCATGCCCTATAGCAAAAATTTCTTTAAAAAAAAAAGTGTGTCTGAAAGACAGCACTTGAAGTGGTTTTTCAGCCATGAAATAAAAAAAAAATACACACACACATTTATAAAGAACGTATTTCATGTTTTTGAATCAGGTCCACTTATTGTGAACCGGTTTTATTTTGTTTTTAAAGTTTGTTTATGAGAGACAGAGAGGGAGACATTTTTGACAGGGTCTAACCGTGTCAGGATCCTTCTGACCGAGTCTTCTGGGGAGCCAGGATTGCAGGCACATGCCACCAGCCCTAGCCAGTTTAGGGTAGCCTAGGAAATAAACTTGGGCCTCCCACTCGCCCTCAGCCTCATCCAGTACCAGATTATGCCAACATGGACGAGCCTTAGCAGACATATGACTGGCAATTTTTCCTTCCATTCCAGTTTTTTTTTTTAACTCTTTATGATATCCTTTAAGCCAAAATGATTTTAATTTTGAAGTCCAATTTATCAATTTCATTGGTATTGCTTGTACTGTCAGTGTCAAATCTAAGACATCCTCACCTAATCCAAGGTCACAAAAAGTTAGACCTTTGTTTTCTCCCAAGAAAAAGTATTCTAAGTTGGTATAAAATCTCTTCCATTCAAATCTGTAATTCAATGTAGATTACCTTGATGTGTCATGAGATAGGGGCCTAACTTCATTCTTTCGGAAGGGGACATCGAGTTGTCCCAGTACCACTCACCATAAAGACTGTGTTGTGTCCCATTGTATTGTCCTGTTGCTGCTGTTGAAAACGATGAACTGCTGTCATTGACCAATGTAAGAGCTTATGTCTAAGGTCTCGATTCTATTCCACCAACCTGTAAGTCTACCCTTATGCCAATACCACATTGCTGACGCTTTACAGTAGATTTTGAAAGTGTTAAGCGTGAACCTCTCATGTTTTCTTTTTGAATATTGCGTTGGCTATTCTGGATGCCTTGTTTCTACATATGAAATGTAAAATAATAAAATCTGTTCACTTCTCAAAAAGATTCAGCTAATATTTTGATAGTGTGTTGAATTTATAGATTAATTGGAGAGTTTTAAAAAATATTTATTTTTATTATTATTATTTTAAATTTTTCCACAGGGCTCATGTGCTCACCCAGAGAGAAAGAAAAAGGGAAAGTGAGACAGCAAGCCTCCAGGCCCAGAACTTGAACTGTGGTCAGCCACGTGGGGATCCAGTGCCCTCATCACCACGCTACTTGCTGGCCCCCAATTTTGAAAGTTTTATCAACAATATTAAATCTTCAGATTCAGTTACTGTCTCTCCATGTATTCATGTTTACTTTAAAATGTTCAGTGATGTAGTTTTTACTGCAGAGGTCTTAACTTTTTGTTGTTAAATTTATTTTATTTTTTTTTTGTAGAGAGATTTTTTACTATAGGGCACATACACTTGCCAGAGAAGATAGAAAGCGAAAAATCACCCACAGGTTCTGTTCCTGAACCTGGAAGCTTGAAAAACGTGCCCAGTGCGTTTGCGTGCACGCCCAGTCTCCCTAGAAAAGAATGGAGGAGACAGGATCACCGTGCGGCCATCCCCCCAGGGGGTGATTTCCCACTTTTCCTCTCTCTGTCCAGCGAGTGAGCATACCCTAACAAACTAGAACAAATAAAACCCGTATGACCTCCTAAGAGAATGACTGCTTACCCAGTCGGCATATTAAATCGGACTCCATCTTGCTTTGCCAACAGTAACTTTACAATGAAGCCAGCTGAAACTGGACTGGGCTGGCTGTGTGGTCTAGCCAGCACTGTGTACTAAGAGCTGGATCCCTCACAAACAGCCACGGTTCAAATTCTGGGTCCAGCAGCTTGAAAGACACACTGGATGTGTGTGTGTGCGCACGCCCCCCAAATCCTGATGAGATGAGGAAATGAAGAAAAAAGGACCATGGTGTTTCCATGGCCCATGGAAGCTCTCACTCTCTCTCTCTGGCGAGTGCACACACCCTCTGACCAAAAAAAAAAAAAAAAGTTTACTGATTTGCCTTCTGCAGAATCTTAGTAGAATGATCAGCAGTATAAAAAGTTAATAAGAAATATCAATAAAACTACAAACGCGGACGATGAACTCACCCGAAGGGTGAATACTTACTTTCTGTCTGTCTCTCTGGCGAGCTCATGCGCCTGATAGCAAAAATTTCTCTCTAAAAAAATAAGTAAAATAAAATAAACCAAAGAAAGTTCTAGTAATACAACCACCCCTCCATTTGTTCAGGGCACGTTGAAAGATTTCAAAGAATCATACATCACAGGTTTTCTGAACAGTGAACGGACTACAACCAACTTTCAAGATTTCGGTTTTCAACCAAAGGCTCTAACTTAATGATGGTCGCCTATTACCTATTTCATACAGTTCTATTGTTATGCCATCTCATTTTTAACGATTTTCAGAGATTTTTGCTACAGGGTGTATGAGCTTGCCAGAGAGACAGAAAGTGAGGAATGACAACCCAGGAAGGATGGCCAAGATTTTGGGCATGTATGCACCCAGTGTGATTAAAAAAAAAAAAAAAAATTCCCATTAAAAATAAATTTTATTTAAATTTATAAGTTTATTTATTTAAATTTGGCCAGAGAGGGAGGGAGGGAGAGAGAGAAAAGAAAAGTGAGAAGGCAGGCCCCCAGGTCTGAGACTCAAACCACAGCTGGCTATGTGGGAGCGGGGTCCAGTGCCTTTAACCACTCCGCCACCTGTTGGCCCCCAGTGTGATTTTCAAGCTGCCAGGTCTGGGACTCACACTACAGCTAGCCATGCCATGTAGAAATCCAGCACCTTAAATTTGTTACCTGCTGGCCCTGCTTTCTCAACCTTTCCAGAGCACATGCTGTCTGGCAAAATTAAAAAAAAAAAATGTTACTGGGACCAGCGTAATGGCTATGTCGCTGGACTCCCACATAGTCGACCGCGGTTTGAGTCCCGGACCTGGTGGCTTAAACTCACACTGGGCGTGTGTGTGTGCGTGCCCAAGATCCCGAGAGGAGAATGGAAGAGAAGGGATTGCGGCATGGCCATCCCCTCTGGGGGGTGATTTCTCACTTTCTGTCTGTCTGTCTGTCTCTGTCTGTCTGGCGAGCTCACGTGCTCTATAGCGAAAACCTCTCCAAAAAAAAAAAAAAAAATTACTTTCGCAGCAGTTACTACCTGTTGTTTCAGTTATTTTAATACTTTAAGCAGTGTTTAAACACTAAGAGTTACTTAGCAGACCAGCAGTTGGCATAATGGCTATGTCGCTGGACTCCCATGTTGGTGACCACGGTTCAAGTCCCAGACCTGGTAGCTTAAACTCACACCAGGCGTATTGTGTGTGCATGCCCAAGATCCCAGGAGGAAAACGGAGGAGAAGGGATTGCGGTGTGGCTCTCCCCCTGGTGGGTGATTTCTAATTTTCTGTCTATCTCTGTCTTTCCGGCGAGTACATGTGCCCTATAGCAAAAACCTCTCCCCCACAAAAAGAAAAACCAAAAAAATAAAAAAAAGTTACTTAGCAATTAAGGACATGTTTGAAATGCTATTACTGTAAAGCACCTAGCAGGGACATCATTATTACACACATTACTTGGGGGCTGCTGGTGTAAAGAGCTAAAATGTGACACACTGTGAGGCGGACCCCAAGGGGATTCTGGGCCTGTATCCAGAGACCTCCCTGAGCACTCTGGGAACTCATGTGCCCATGACTGGGGTGGGCTGAAATGGGGTGGAGAGTGACAAGAGGATCCTCATAGGGATGGTGTCTCTCATGTAAGAAATATGTGCATGAACTTAAATATATACATATTACATACATTAATATTTTTAGTCTTGCTGTTTGGCATGGACAACACAGAATTAGCAAAATTGCAGCATATTTTGATACAACTGGCTATTAAATCCACATGATAAAATTTTTCTTCTTAAAAATAATCTTTTTAGGTAACGTGCAAGTGGTCTTATGCAGAAATGGGAAAGGTTTCTGCCTAACCAAAGAACATACGACGCGAAACATAAATGAGAGGAGGAGAGTACTGCAGAACGGCGCAATGATTAGTTCGAATGAACCCTACGGGCTCCTCGAAGGACAAGTGCAAACCACACGAGGACTTGGGTTTCATGGAAATCTCAAACTGAAAAAATCCATCATCCCAGCACCTCAAACTATTTCTATCCCAATAGATGACTTATGTCAGTTCCTCATCTTAGCTACTAACGGACTCTGGGAAGTTCTGGACAAAAAGGAAGTCACTGCGCTGGCGATGACAATGTTCCACGTGTATAAAGAAACATACTACTCTACGACACAAAACGCATCTTTATCCTATGAGCCTCTACTGTATACAACCGGTGACCCCAACATCACGGAGCCAGAAACTGACATCCACGTACTGTTTCAGTATGAACCTCATTCAAAGGAAAATGTGCTTGATTCAAAGTATTCTGAATATTGTCCTTATAACCTTGAAAATGTAGAAAAGCCTGCAGCAAAAAGGATTAACCAAGAACCTTGTAACAGGAAAGAATCGTGCGCTAAGAGTTTCTACGAAGGTGCTGCTGAATACGTCAGCCATGAACTTGTCAATGCTGCTTTAGAGGCCGGCTCCAGAGACAATGTTACAGTTATGGTGATATTTCTCAATGGAAGTGAGTACCAGTTTTTAACATAAAAAAGAAAAAAGGTTCCAATTATCCAGATCATTAAAATGTAATGCCACCAAGACAGTATTTCAATAAACCGAATAGGGTAATCTATAACACCATGCAAATAATTTTGAAGAATGCAGTAAACACCAAAGCAGATTTTAGATAACATTTATATGTGCGTGCCGTTTTATGCCCGAAAAGGAGGAAAAACAATACTTGCTTTTTATACCACTTTATTCCAACCTGAGCACCTCAATATAAAACTAAACACTGATGGACTGTTTTCCTTACTAATTGCGAATTACTGTAAATGTACAAGTCCTGCTAGCAAGTCAACACTTAAATAGATTAAATCATCTCTGACACATGGTAGATTTCATATAATGAAAATACCTAAAATAATTAGTGCAATATACCGAACTGATCAAAATAAAATGAACTTTGGAAAACAAGGCTGCAAGATTGTTACTAACATATCGCAATCCTTATGTTACAAATTACAGGTACATTGTTTATTATGGTTCTAGCCATGTAGGAACTGAAGCCCCTTTCTTTCAAAGGGAGAGAGAAAGAAATAATTAGCTGTTTTAGTAACTGTACATTTTGTATGCTTTTAAGCAACTCTTAAATATTACAGAAAGAAAGACATATATGAAGACTACAATGCAGTACCCTATTTACAGTACAGCTGAAGTCAAATTTAAAATCATCAAGTTTGAATGTACATAATTGTTAGTGCATTGACTATCATGTCCAAAGGGAACAAAACCCTCCCTGTCCCCAAACAAAACCTAGGTAATAGCCAGCAGTGATTAAACAGAAATCAGACACCTGGTGCATTTCATCTTGGTTGAAGAGCCAACATAAATCTGAAGGAGACACCATCAGCTAAGATGCACTTATCAGTTTCCTTAGTCTTAAAACATAATGGGGTTACATTTGACTTTTTAAACCCCATTTTAAAAAACACAAGACTGGTTATAATTTAGATGCCATTTATGTTTATTTGTTACCTCTTGAGTTGTGGGTTTTTGTGATATATTTTTTTTCAATGTGGAATGTACACTTTAAATATAGGTACCAGAAGAAATGACCGTTTTCCTGAATACTGTAGCTAAGCATAAATATCTTCAGACTCTCATTCTAAAAAAAAGAATGTTTTAAAAGAGTAAATCGATAAATCCCACAATCTCGTTCATAGATGACTACTGTGCCAGTTTGGAGGAACTGGCTGGCCGGCTATGGGTCCAGGTAGCCAGCCATTTGTCTAGTTCCTAGTGATGAGAAAGGGTCCCCTCGACCTTCCAAAGAAACAGTGTACAGAGTTCTCGTTTTCCCTTTCTAGTGGTGAAACATTAGTCAGAGGGATACATGCATGTTATTAAAAATTAAGTTCAAAACACTTAAAATAATTCTGTATTAGAAACCTGACTCTATTGTAAGTCTCTTCTTTTTCTGGAAGTCATACTGGGCTGGTTAAATGAGCCAATTCCACTGTTACTGACATGTAGGAAGCAGAATATTCCAGCTAGTTCAGACTGGAGGCTTAGTTACTACAACACTGACTCCTGGTTGGCTGTGTGGGCTCAGTAAGGTCCACTCCTCTTCCTCTGGCAGAATTTGCTCCTGGATTCTGTGGTTCATTCTTTGGCAACTTTTTAGCTGAGAGGTAAGAATCAAAATAAACAATTAGAATATTCATGTTAAAATTACTTTTGTCTGCTTATTTATAATCTTTCTTTCTAGTTAGATAACCCTTCGATTACCACACGGCATTCATTCTTTCCAAACATTTACCAAGTACACAACACAAAACCCTCAAACACAATTGCTATCCTAAGGGAGTTAAACTTCTTGGTATGTGTTGAGCGAGGGAACCAGTTATAGACACACTCTTAAACCTGAATAGAGTAACATGTAATTCTTTGAATACATTTAATTATAATACTAGAAAAGTTGTGCTGTATTTCATTACCATCGGTACTTCTGTTACTTAAAAAAAAAATTAAGTCAATAAAGATGAGCAATCAATTTCATTACAAAGGTCAGTTTAAGTTATAATCAATGTTCCCTGCACTGGCACAAGCACTTTTTGAAACAAGTCAGAATTTACCACCACTACCCAATAAAGCCTGTCCTTCAGTTATCACTCTCAATTATGACAGATAACATCTATCAATATTTCCTTTGTGACTTCCACGGTCTTAGAATATCTGTTGTCTCTTATGTGCTGATAAAAGTACCAGGCTGATTTACCAGTGGCTATGACCAATACAAGTGAACTGGATCCTGAAGGCTTTATCTCCAGAAACGATTTCCCAAGTTTGAGTCAGAGAAGCGTGTCTTGTCAGATACAGCTAATGGCTGCGTTCTGGTATGTACTCCCATTGATTAAAAATTCACTTAAAAAAAAAAAAAAAGAAAGAGAGAGAGGTTTTTTGCTCTAGGGCGTGTGCGCTTGCCAGAGAGAGACAAAGACACAGAAAGTGAGAAATCACCCCTTGGGGGGGGTGGCCACACTGCAATCCCTTCTTCTCTATTTTCTCAGGATGCTAGGCGCGCAAGCACACATGCCTAGCGTGAATTTTAAGCCACCAAGTCCGGGACTCAAACCACAGTTGACTATGTGGGAGTACAGTGAAGTTAACCACTACACCATCTGCTGGTTCAAAAACTCACCTACTCATGTAGTCTGCTTTGATCTCTAAGATCCTTGATATGCTAGATTCATTTTTTTGAGGGAGGAAGTAATACTAAAATATCCAAGAGTGCCGACTATTAGGGTGGCTGGGCCCACTAGTGTGTATCAGCTTTGCGGACAGACGACTCTGGTAAGACTCTAAGCTTTACCACAGCCTAGATTCAGGTTACTCAGAAGCTGAATATGCTGCACATCAAAATCTAAATGCCTTGCTGCATTTTGGATCTGTTATCCTTTTTTCTATACATCTGACATGACCATTAATCAGCGTTAGAGTTCTAGATTTTAGGCTGGGAAATGGGTCTGGGAACCAGGAGCACTGAAGTTTGGGATGAAAAGTCTTCACGTGGGCTACATCTCTAGGAATGGTTGCATAAACAGTGATATAGTGGTAATTTTCCAGGCCAAAAAAATTTTTTAAAGAGATTTTTGCAAAAGGGCACGTGTGTTTGCCGGAGAGACAAAAAGAGAAAGCAAGAAATCAATCCCTAGAGGGGATGGTCATGCCACAACCCCTTCTCTTCCACTCACTCGATGTGAGTTTCAAGGTGCCAGGTCTGGAACTCGAACCACGGTCAGCCATGTGGGAGTCCAGTGATGTAACCACTACACTACCTGCTGGTTCCAAGGCAAATACATTTCTTTCTTCCTTTTTTTTTTTAAGAGAGATTTTTGCTACAGGGCACGTGCGCTCATCAGAGATACAGGAAGTGAGAAATCACCTCCTGGGGTGTTGGCCAAGCCACAATTCCTTCTCCTCTATTCTCTTCTTGGGAGTTTGGGCATGCATGTACACGTACCTAGCATTGAGTTTTAAGCCGCTGGGTCTGGGACTCGAAAACACGGTCGACTATGTGGGAGTCTAATGACATAACCATTACGCACCTGTTGGTCCTGGCAAATGCATTTCTAACAAAACGTCTCTAGATGAACAGAAGTACTTTGGACCCAAAATAGACTAGCATTATAAACTGTATATAATTAATCCCAAATTAGCTCTGGATTTGAGTGATCCTTTATCCCTTCAGTATACTCCTCTATGGACTTTCTGTAATTAGACATGTAAAATTAGGAGGCTGAGGAAACAAATAAGCTGTAAGGAGGACTTTCTAGGCCCTGAATTGATCAGAATTGATATGAGTGTACTGTGTGATTTAAGTTACTAATCTCATAAGGAAAAGGCTACAATTCCATTTACACTTGGGATTTTTTTTAAGAAAGCAAACATTCTAATCTCACACAAAAATAAAAGGGGAAAAAACCTTCTAGTATGAAGCCCATTTTGTGACTGGAAAGGTGACCTTAATTAGTACAATGAATACAAAGTACAGAGTAAAGCGCACTTGATGGACTCTTAATACTGTAAGGAAGAGTTAAGGTCCAGGCCGATTTGAGAAACTTAGGATCTCCTTGTTTCCTATTTTCAACTCTTCAGTTGTGGGACTGGGTGTCATCTGTCCTGACTGTAAAAAGAGCACAACTGCTGCACAATCCTTTACAGCTACACTGGTATTTCCTCAGCAAACTTCAAGTCTGGGTTTTTCCATACATTTCATATACTGAGCAGGTAAGTATTTTTCCACATCAAATGAGCCACCACTAAACTGTCACGTAATGAAAACAGTTAAGGGCACTAGCAGCACGTATAAGGTTTTCTTTAGCCTCTGATATGGCCAATAATTGGCTCATCTGTATGAGTTCAGTTTAAGAGCATCTCCTGTTTAGGATTAAGAATGCAGACGCTCCAGTTAAGAATCACTGCTGGGACGTGCAGATGGAGTAATGATTATATCACCAGACTCCCATGTTGTCCACCATGGCTCAAGTCCTGGACCTAGTGGCTTAAAACTCATGCAGGGTGTGTGTGCATGCATGTATGCCCAACATCCCAAGAGGAGAAGGGACTGCGATGTGGTCATTCCCCCACCCCCCCGTGGGGTGATTTCACACTTTCTGTTTTTCTGGCGAGCACATGTACTGTATAGCAAAAATCTCTCTCAAAAAAGAAAAAGGAACCACTGCTGTATAACAAAAAATATTATAAATGAGAAAGGTGGTAGGTACATGGAAACTGTGGAGGACATAAACTCTGAGAGTCAGAGTAGCCCTTTCAGTAGAGTATGTACCTTAAAACCAATGGAAGGCGCTTAAGGTAAATAGAAAAGCCTTTATTTTTGTTGCAGAAAAATGGGAAGCTTATTATTACTCCAACTCTATTACCTATAATCAAAACCTGTGGAAGAGTAATCACATCATTGAAAAGTACCTTAAAGCAAAGGTAAAAGCACTGTGTGAGAACAAATTACCGAAGTTACATGAAGCACTGACCCTTTTTTTTGCTTTCTGTCTTTTCTCCTGTGCCTTGATGCCGGAAATCTCCTTTACAATGTCTACATTAAAATAATTAATCGGGACCAGCAGTTAGCATAATGGCTATGTCGCGGTTCGAGGACCGGACCTGGTGGCTTAAACTCACGCCGGGTGCGTGTGCTTGTGTACCCAAGATCCAGAAAAGAGAATGGAGAAGGGATTGCAGCATGGCCATCCCCTTTGGGGGATGATTTCTCGCTTTCTGTCTCTCTGTCTCTCTCTGTCTTTCTAGCGAGCGCATGCATCCTATAGCAAAAACCTCTCCAAAAAAAAGAAAAAAAAAAAAATCAACCTGTAACCTTAAGTGTTTTCTGCGTCATATTTAACAATAATCTTGATTTATTGGTGAAATCTCTGCATTACATTTAATAGGCAATAACCTTTTGAGTTTGACAATATTATTAATAACACATTGCTTGGTGGAAGAACCTAGTAAAGTGGTATAATCATAAAAAAAAAATAAAAAATAAAAAATCAAGATATGGGGGCCAGCAGGTGGCATGGCAGTTAGGGCAGGGACTCCTACATGTCTGACCATGGTATGAGACCCAGACCTGGGGACTTGAAAATCATGCAGGCCATGTGTGTATATGTGTCCAAAATCCTGAGATGAGAATGGAGAAGGAATCGCAACATAGCTCTCTCTCCAGAGAGAGAATTTTTCACTTTCCCTCTCTGTAGCTCTCTGGCAAGAGCACAGGCCTTATGGCAAAAACCTAAAATAAAAACAAAACAAAACAAAACAAAAAAACTCACTTCAAGATGTTTTAAAGGAGAAAGTCAAACCAAATACATCTACACTTGTTTTGCCTATATTCACGTTCTGAGAAACAGTATTAACCTTACCTATTGCCATGAATATTTCATTTACATTCATTGATGTTTTAGCTGATGTCTCCATGAATAATAAGCTGTTGTCATCTGCATAGGACTGTGCTTCCTGTTTACAGAGCAGAAAAGAGATGTATCTCTCGGACATACACTTGCTTTCTTTTTCTTACAGAAAGTGGCTTCATTATTACTCCAACATATTTACCTAATACTAACAACTGTGTAATAAGAGATAACAAAGTAAGAGCACTGTGTGGCATATTGTTTTTGGAGAGCCTCACCGTGTTGTAATTCTCTTGCCTCAGGTACCCGAGCAACTGGGAGCACGAGCACAGGCCGCCACACATGTGGCTTATAGGGGGTGATATGGGAACCGAAACTAGGTTTCCAGGCTTCCCATATGGCCTGATTCCACCAAGTATCAGTGTCTAGTAGTGCGTTCTACTGCAGGTGGGCCATTTTTTGGCCTTAATGGCTTAAGCTATCCCACTCTGATTCATCTGGTCTTATATTTAATCTCTCTCTTTTTTAAAAGAATTATTTTATTTACTTTAAATTTTTAATTGATATGAGAAGGACAGAGTAACAGCAAAAGAGAGAAAGTGAGAAAGCAAGCTACTAGGTTCAGTACTTGAACTGCCACCACGCTACCTGCCAGCCCCACATTTAATCTACTTTCAAATGAGTTCCGGGGCTGGGGGCGTGGGTGGGTGATTCTCCTATCTTAAAGATAAAATTCTTTGTTCTCAATAGCAATTCTTTCCTTGTGCTTATTATCTATAATGAAGACAAATGGAAACCAAATAGCTAACTTTGGCTTTAACCACTAAACGACACCCTCATGTTTAATTTTTAATGACTTTATTACACCATAACTTTCAATACATCATAAATCATTCCTCTGGGCATTTCGTACGGCCTTACATTTCTGTCATGCTTTTACAGCTCACATACATCACTGCCTTTGATCCTCACGGACTACCTTTCTCATTTGAAGAGGGAACAACTGACCTTCCTTTAACTGTTAAGTGACAGGGCCACTCCTGACGTGCTTTCAGTGGTCTCTTAGCCACTCTATGCTGAGAACAATGTTGGAAACAGTACAAGCGATACTACACCTTACAGAGCTGTCATAAAAATGAAATGAAACTACATGTAACATGGTCAGCTTAACAGCTAATGGTGAAGGAAATATCAGCTTCCTTTCTCTTCGCGCATGTATGCCATCTACTGAGTCATCATCAGAAACATGTTTTAAAATTCTGTCACTGCTGTTTTATACGTAATGGCCACAATCAACTTCTCTGGTAGAAAAGCTACAGAGCAAGAGAAGAGGAGCAGACGTGCAAAGTCTAAGCAGATTCGCTTTGTTCTTAAAGGACTCTAACTTGATCTAATTTGTAGCAAGGAATGTTCTTCACTAGTTATCATGGACAACATAAAAGCTGGATTTTTTAAGGCTATATTTTTTGAATGTCCTTTCAAGAAAGCTCCACAGGTGTGCACGTGTGCACCTATGTAAATAGGTGTCTGTAGCCGAGTATTGGTAAATAAGCGGAGAAAGATCAGAAAAGGAAACAAATGAAACTATATGTAGGAATGGAAGAATATTAGGATAAGCAGCTAACAAGTTTTGCTTTAGATATTGCTGCATTGTTTGTGAAAAAATATTTTATAATTGTTTTAGGTCAATAAAACCACTTATTCAATATGTACATTCAATAATATAAAGATATTCCAAAATTCAGGTTTACTTAGGAGAAATATTTTATTGCATGTAGTACTTCACATTATTTTTTTTAAATTTCCATCTTCTACTATTTAAATGTTTTAAAATTTTAACTAATTCAGATGAGGATACAAAATAAAAATTTACAAAAAAATGTCTTCAGGTTAAAACTTTAAATTCAACATACCTGGAAGTCTACAGCTCTTTTATTTGCTAGGTCAGCCTTGTTTCCTGATAAAGCTATGACAATGTTAGGACTTGCTTGCCTCTGAAGTTCTTTAACCCAGTTTTTTGCTCTTGCAAAGGACTCCTGTTAAACAAAGAAACAGCTACTTGGCACAGCTTCAAAATATGGTTAGGAAGTTTCTTTGTAAGACACAGCTTCAAAAGACCATCCAATATAACTCCATGGGAAAAAAAAAAAATCTTAGGATTATTGTTATTACTAGAGACACTTTCATATTACGTTTTTTTGGGAGAGATTTTTGCTATAGGGCATGTGCTCGCCAGAGAGAGAGAGAGAGCGAGCGAGTGAGAAATCACCCCTTAGGAGGAATGGCCACGCCACAATCCCTTCTCCACTCTCCTCTCAGGTTGTTGGATCCGGTGTGAGTTTCAAGTCGCAGGTCTGGGATTTGAACTATGTCTGGCCATGTGGGAGTCCAGCACTTTAACCACTAAGGCACCTACTGGCCCCCATATTACTTTTTTTAAGATCGGATTTTCTAATTCACAAAAGCTTTCATTAAAATGTCACTAGTGGCTATCAAAAAGATTTTTCAAAATCTTTTCTCTAATAAAATACCCAAAATAGGTATTCATAGCAGATTCACTGTAAATGTACTTGTACTTACCTCATTCGTGATATCATATACTACTATGGCTGCTTGTGCTCCTCTGTAGTACATTGGTGCTAGGCTGTGGTATCGCTCTTGACCAGCTGTATCCCATATTTCAAACTTTACTGTAGTGTCATCAAGACACACAGTTTGGGTTAGAAAAGCAGCTGAAAGAAGAAAACAT